GTCTCCCCGTGTCTCTCTCCTCGTGTCTGTGTCCTTGTGTCTCTCTCCAATAGTGTCTCTCTCCGTGTCTCTGTATCCTAGTGTCTCTGTCTCTTTCCCGTGTCTCTCTCCCCGTGTCTCTCTCCCCGTGTATGTCTCCTAGTGTCTCTTCGTGTCTCTTTCCCGTGTCTCTCTCCCCGTGTCTCTCTCCCCGTGTATGTCTCCTAGTGTCTCTCTCCCCGTGTCTCTCTCCCCGTGTCTCTCTCCCCTTGTGTCTCTTCCCCCAAACACGAACGATACAACAACACGACGTTCGGAGTGCAAAGTTGAGAGAGAGAGAGAGAAATGAGAATTTTCCCGGCGGGCGTAACTGGGTGGGGCCGTGGGCTTCCGGTTATTGTAGCGGCCTAGAGCGTGATCCATCCACTGCTGCCCTGAGGGAGAGCCGTGCTCTGTCCACTGCTGCCCTGAGGGAGAGCCGCGCTCTCTCCACTGCTGCCCTGAGGGAGAGCCGTGCTCCGTCCACTGCTGCCCTGAGGGAGAGCCGTGCTCCGTCCACTGCTGCCCTGAGGGAGAGCCGTGCTCTCTCGGCTGCTGCCCTGAGGCAGGGCCGTGCCCCGTCCACTGCTGCCCTGAGGGAGCCCCGTGCTCTCCACTACTGGCTTGAGCGAGAGCCGTGCTATCTCCACCGCTGCCGTGAGGGAGCCAGACTCTATCTCTCCTCTGCTGCCCTGAGGCAGGGTTGTGCTCCATCCACTGCTGCCCTGAGGGAGAGAGAGTCGTGCTCCATCCACTGCTGCCCTGAGAGAGAGTCGTGCTCCATCCACTGCTGCTGCCCGAGATGTCGCGGGCGCTGCCCCAGAGCAAGGAGGCGCTGCTGCAGTCGTTCAACAAGCGGCTCAAGGCGGACGTGCGCTCCATCCTGGACAACTTCACGGAGATCATTCGAGACGGCCGAGGGTTGTGAATGAAGAGTTCCCTGTGTGGGCTTCAGTGGGGCCGTCTGGACGGGCAGCAGAGAGACGAGAGGCCAAGAAACGACATTCCAGTCGTGGGCTGAGCTCAAGAAGGGCTAGCTCGAGCACCATCCTGCGGCGGGGAAAGGAGGTGGTGCAAGCGGTTCAGCCGAGCCCACAACAGCCAAGAATCTGCTGTCTGGGAGAGGGGGGTGGGCGCTGTTAAACCCTAGCACATGGGCGAGAAGCCGTGCATGTGTGACGAGTGCGGCAAGACGTTTTCTCGCACTCGGCCTACAAGTATATATATTTTTTTCTATTTCCACTTGTGTGTAAATCTGTGTATACCCCGGATATTTTAGAGATGGCAATTCTCCTGCTGTGTATCGTACTGCTATCCCTCCCGGCCATATCTAGTGCCACACTCGACTCTACAAACGGCTACCCTCGTTATTTTGCGTCAATACTTGTTGCTCGATTTGCCACTACACCTGCAAATGAAACAGCTTCATAGACACTTCTACACTCCATCATTGTATCCTTTTAAACCCTATCTTTGTCCCATTACTTCACCAACACTCCTTCCAAACTTCATTCTGCTCTTAAAAATAACACCATCTGCGAGCTGCTGCTATTCGTCCAAGGGTCGCCGCTCTTCATCCTTTCACAGAAAATACTTGTGCAAACTGTTAATTCTACTTTTCTTATTTCTGGGTGGTATTGAGCTTCATCCTGGCCCAAATGAAAAGAGCTCGTATAATTCTGTAGATTTTTCTGGCAGGAAAGGTGTTGGTGTTCTACATGTCAACATCAGAGGGCTTGTGATTAAATTAAGTCAACTAAAACTAGAAGTGGCAAATCTTGACCCGGACATTTTTTGCCTAACAGAAACATTTCTCACTCCTGCCGTCAATGACTTGCAGATTACGATTGAAAACTACAACCTTTTTCGGCTTGACCGAGGATCTAAAGGAGGTGGAATTGCCATCTATGTTCGTAACACTATTGCATGTTCACCAGCTCACTCCTTGTTTAAAAAATGTTGCTTTGAAGGTCTGGCTCTCAGAATAACTCTCCCAAATAATCAACAGATATTGGTAGTGTGCTGCTATAGACCGCCTTGTGGGAAGGATGTTGAAGCTGCATCGGCACTGAGAGAGCTTTTTGGGGGCCTCCCTAAAGGTGAAATAGTTTTAGTGGGTGATCTAAATTGGAATTGGCTAAACCCGCCGGCCGTGGCCACAAATTTTACAGATTAATTTAACTTGTTTCAATTAATAAATGTCCCCACAAGACCCAACCTAAAAAATCCGGGACAGTCAACTCTGCTTGACGTCCTATTGACAAATGCCCCTCACAATTTCGCACTGACTGGTGTTCTGGGTAATAACCTTAGTGATCACTCCTTCATTTTTGGTGTGAGATCATCAGCCAGACCCAAAGCCCCCCCTAAAATTGTTGAGAAGCACTCTTTGAGGCACTTCAGCACTCAGGCATTTACAAATGATGTGCTTCACTCGGATATTGATAAGGTCTGTGATATCCCCAACCTGACTACGGCTTGGGAGACTTTCAGGTACACGTTTCTCCAAATTCTTAACAAACATGCTCCGTTGGTTAGATTTAAAACTAAAGGCAACCGCCCACCATGGTATGATCCTTTGATTACAAAGCTCATGAAAACTAGGGACAAGGCTTGGGCATGTGCTCAGAAAAGTAATTTGGTAAATGACTGGCTAGAATACAGGATTTTAAGGAATAGATGCGTAAAAAAAATACGGCATGCAAAAAATGCCTATTTTTCCTCCACTCTCCTGGAATCACATGGAAATGCCAGGATTTTTTGTAAAACAATCAAATCTATCGAAAAGGCATCCAAAACAGAAAATCTGCCCGTTGAGCTTCACCGAAATGGGGAATATTTTTCAGATCCCAAAAAAATAGTTGACAATTTTAACCTTCATTTTTCTGAAGCTGGTAATCTTTTTGATAATGTATTGGGAGTCACCCCTGCTCCTGCAAATTCCTACACCCCTGTCCAAACATTAAACGAATTTAGTTTCCAACCAATCCACGAAAGTAATCTTCTGAAACAACTGTCCTACCTCAAAGGGTCCTCCTCTACCGGAGCAGATAGTTTTCCCGTCTTTGCTCTACTAACTGTTGGTCACCTAATATACAAACCTATAGCCCATATTTTCAACCTGTCCATCAAAGAAGCATCAGTTCCTCTATAATGGAAACATTCCTATGTCCGTCCACTTCACAAAGGGGGCCCTAAAGATGATCCCAATAACTACCGACCTATCTCAATTTTGTCCCCATTGATGAAAATTTTTGAAAAATTATTGAACTACCAAATTAGCAGTTTCCTGTCCACCAACAATCTACTACATCTAAAACAATCTGGGTTTTGGAAAAAATACAGCACCACATCTGCTGCATTAGACTCTTTGAATCAAATTTACAATAGCCTTGATAATAAGCAGTACTGTGCCTGTCTTTTTCTTGACCTGTCCAAAGCTTTTGATACAGTTGACCACAACACCCTGCTTAGTAAACTAAGTTGCCTCGGTTTTTCCGAGAACACAGTACAATGGTTAAAAAATTACCTCTTTTCTCGCACCCAAACTGTATTCACAGATGGTTGGAGGTCAAACAGTGTTAAGATAACAAAAGGGGTTCCACAGGGTTCCATCCTTGGCCCCCTCTTGTTCTCTCTTTATGTCAATGACTTGGGCACTGAACTGGATCATTCCAGGGTAAATCTTTTTGCAGATGACACGATACTGATTACTGCTGGCCGCTCTCCGGATGACGTAATTGCTAAGCTCCAGGGTGATTTCAACAAACTACAACATCAGCTAGTTTCTCTTAAACTAGTCCTGAATACCTCCAAAACCAAGGTGCTATGCTTCTCTCCGGGACTAAAGCAGGAAGTTATTTTTCCCCAATTACATTCCTTGAATAATTATCAAATAGAGCAAGTCAAGATCTATAAGTATCTTGGGGTCATCCTGGATTCAAAACTTAGTATTGAAGATCACATTGATTATATTGGTAAAAAGACAAAAATAAAAATTGGTTTTCTGTATCGACACAAGCACTGCTTCCCCCCAATGTTCCGTTTGGAATTGATCAAAGCTACCATACTGCCTCTACTTGACTACTGTGACATCGTGTATAAATCAGCCCCAAGTACTGTACTGAAGAAGCTTGATTCCATCTATCACTCGGCCTTAAGATTTGCATTGAACTACCCATATAGGACTCACCACTGTGATCTCTACATTGGGTCAAACTTAACATCTCTTAATGTTCGACGGCTTGTGCACCAGATCTTATTTATTCACGAGGTACTTACAAAAAATTCCGCAGACTACCTACTGGATCTCCTCTCTGTTTCAAAGAACAAATTTGACCTCAGGTCTTCGCTCATTTACCAGCTTCACATTCCCTATTGCCGTACAAAAACTGGAGGAAGGGCCTTTGCTATTAATGCCCCCAGGGTCTGGAATGCTATTGCCAATAAACTTCAACTTGAATCACTACCTATGAGATCTTCACTCAAAACTGCTCTAGAGGAGTTGCACAACCCTAGCTACCACTGCTATTCAGTGGCCTAAAATATGGCTCTAGATTTTGGTGTTATAATTTATTTATGTAGTTTATTGTTAAAAATTCGGTCACAGTCCCTATGATCACTGTTACATTGCATTTATGGCTTTTATTTTGGTGATTTCGAAAAGTTTTTTTTTGTTTTGGCCATGTTTTTGTTTATTGTAGTACGGAGTTAGACTGATGGCCTTAATCTTAGTTGTCTTGTGGTTGTTGTTGTTATTTGACTTGCATCCCACTGGGATTTTTTTGCACACAGCGTTGGTGTACGGTGCTATTTCAGGAATATTTTGATATTTTTTTTCCTGTATTTTCTGTTTGCACAGTCACACAAAATCACTTTAAGATGTTTTCTTGTTCATGTTTATTGTTTGTTGCGGTTGCACCCGATTCAAGAGCCGAATGGCTCACAGGGCTATACCAAATAAATGAACTATGAACTGTGTCACAGTTCCGGCCTTCATAGACGCTTCCTTTAACAGCTTGTTAAGGCTACACGGGGGATATTTGTCTTTTGTGCAATAGTGCGGATTTACCATATTACTCCTTTTCCGTATATAAGCTGGCATCAGGACTCAAGGTAAGTGAAAATATAATGTTTTTTTCTCTATATATTGATGTAACTTTATTTCGCTTTTTTTTACTATACAGTATTGATGACGATGCTTATGTGATTCCCCCCACACCGCCCAAGGGGAAGTAATGACGCAGACGTCATTGTAAGCGAGACTCAAACCCGTTACTCGCTCCCAAATCCGGGTAAGGCGCACGTTTGTATTATGCGCACGTTCTACGAATATCACATGTGTTCGATGTATGATATACAGTATTTATGTATGTGTGTTGTATGAAATGTTGAACTTCTTTACTCATCGGGAGTAATTTTTTTTTATTTTCTGGCGGTGTCGGTACGTTACAAGGCCCGCGCCCTGTCAAACATCGGCGACTGAGCAGCGTTAGGCGAGAGGGTGAAGTCAAGGAGCCGCCCTAGTCCAGCAGTGGATAAAGCACAGCCACGTGTAGCCTCTAGCAGGGCTGTAAGGGGCAAGTGGTTGTTAGTAGCAAGTAGCAGCAGCAGCAGCGTCTATGAAGGTAGACACAGACAAAGGTCCCCCGTGTAGCCTCTAGCAGGGCTGTAAGGGGCAAGTGGTTGTTAGTAGCAAGTAGCAGCAGCAGCAGCGTCTATGAAGGTAGACACAGACAAAGGTCCCCCGTGTAGCCTCTAGCAGGGCTGTAAGGGGCAAGTGGTTGTTAGTAGCAAGTAGTAGCAGCAGCAGCGTCTATGAAGGTAGACACAGACAAAGGTCCCCCGTGTAGCCTCTAGCAGGGCTGTAAGGGGCAAGTGGTTGTTAGTAGCAAGTAGCAGCAGCAGCAGCGTCTATGAAGGTAGACACAGACAAAGGTCCCCCGTGTAGCCTCTAGCAGGGCTGTAAGGGGCAAGTGGTTGTTAGTAGCAAGTAGTAGCAGCAGCAGCGTCTATGAAGGTAGACACAGACAAAGGTCCCCCGTGTAGCCTCTAGCAGGGCTGTAAGGGGCAAGTGGTTGTTAGTAGCAAGTAGTAGCAGCAGCAGCGTCTATGAAGGTAGACACAGACAAAGGTCCCCCGTGTAGCCTCTAGCAGGGCTGTAAGGGGCAAGTGCTGTTAGTAGCAAGTAGCAGCAGCAGCGTCTATGAAGGTAGACACAGACAAAGGTCCCCCGTGTAGCCTCTAGCAGGGCTGTAAGGGGCAAGTGGTTGTTAGTAGCAAGTAGCAGCAGCAGCAGCGTCTATGAAGGTAGACACAGACAAAGGTCCCCCGTGTAGCCTCTAGCAGGGCTGTAAGGGGCAAGTGGTTGTTAGTAGCAAGTAGCAGCAGCAGCGTCTATGAAGGTAGACACAGACAAAGGTCCCCCGTGTAGCCTCTAGCAGGGCTGTAAGGGGCAAGTGGTTGTTAGTAGCAAGTAGCAGCAGCAGCAGCGTCTATGAAGGTAGACACAGACAAAGGTCCCCCGTGTAGCCTCTAGCAGGGCTGTAAGGGGCAAGTGGTTGTTAGTAGCAAGTAGCAGCAGCAGCAGCGTCTATGAAGGTAGACACAGACAAAGGTCCCCCGTGTAGCCTCTAGCAGGGCTGTAAGGGGCAAGTGGTTGTTAGTAGCAAGTAGCAGCAGCAGCAGCAGCGTCTATGAAGGTAGACACAGACAAAGGTCCCCCGTGTAGCCTCTAGCAGGGCTGTAAGGGGCAAGTGGTTGTTCGTAGCAAGTAGCAGCAGCAGCGTCTATGAAGGTAGACACAGACAAAGGTCCCCCGTGTAGCCTCTAGCAGGGCTGTAAGGGGCAAGTGGTTGTTCGTAGCGAGTAGCAGCAGCAGCGTCTATGAAGGTAGACACAGACAAAGGTCCCCCGTGTAGCCTCTAGCAGGGCTGTAAGGGGCAAGTGGTTGTTCGTAGCGAGTAGCAGCAGCAGCGTCTATGAAGGTAGACACAGACAAAGGTCCCCCGTGTAGCCTCTAGCAGGGCTGTAAGGGGCAAGTGGTTGTTAGTAGCAAGTAGCAGCAGCAGCGTCTATGAAGGTAGACACAGACAAAGGTCCCCCGTGTAGCCTCTAGCAGGGCTGTAAGGGGCAAGTGGTTGTTAGTAGCAAGTAGCAGCAGCAGCAGCAGCGTCTATGAAGGTAGACACAGACAAAGGTCCCCCGTGTAGCCTCTAGCAGGGCTGTAAGGGGCAAGTGGTTGTTCGTAGCGAGTAGCAGCAGCAGCAGCAGCGTCTATGAAGGTAGACACAGACAAAGGTCCCCCGTGTAGCCTCTAGCAGGCCTGTAAGGGGCAAGTGGTTGTTAGTAGCAAGTAGCAGCAGCAGCAGCGTCTATGAAGGTAGACACAGACAAAGGTCCCCCGTGTAGCCTCTAGCAGGGCTGTAAGGGGCAAGTGGTTGTTAGTAGCAAGTAGCAGCAGCAGCAGCGTCTATGAAGGTAGACACAGACAAAGGTCCCCCGTGTAGCCTCTAGCAGGGCTGTAAGGGGCAAGTGGTTGTTCGTAGCGAGTAGCAGCAGCAGCGTCTATGAAGGTAGACACAGACAAAGGTCCCCCGTGTAGCCTCTAGCAGGGCTGTAAGGGGCAAGTGGTTGTTCGTAGCGAGTAGCAGCAGCAGCGTCTATGAAGGTAGACACAGACAAAGGTCCCCCGTGTAGCCTCTAGCAGGGCTGTAAGGGGCAAGTGGTTGTTAGTAGCAAGTAGCAGCAGCAGCAGCAGCGTCTATGAAGGTAGACACAGACAAAGGTCCCCCGTGTAGCCTCTAGCAGGGCTGTAAGGGGCAAGTGCTGTTAGTAGCAAGTAGCAGCAGCAGCAGCGTCTATGAAGGTAGACACAGACAAAGGTCCCCCGTGTAGCCTCTAGCAGGGCTGTAAGGGGCAAGTGGTTGTTCGTAGCGAGTAGCAGCAGCAGCGTCTATGAAGGTAGACACAGACAAAGGTCCCCCGTGTAGCCTCTAGCAGGCCTGTAAGGGGCAAGTGCTGTTAGTAGCAAGTAGCAGCAGCAGCAGCGTCTATGAAGGTAGACACAGACAAAGGTCCCCCGTGTAGCCTCTAGCAGGGCTGTAAGGGGCAAGTGGTTGTTAGTAGCAAGTAGCAGCAGCAGCAGCGTCTATGAAGGTAGACACAGACAAAGGTCCCCCGTGTAGCCTCTAGCAGGGCTGTAAGGGGCAAGTGCTGTTAGTAGCAAGTAGCAGCAGCAGCGTCTATGAAGGTAGACACAGACAAAGGTCCCCCGTGTAGCCTCTAGCAGGGCTGTAAGGGGCAAGTGCTGTTAGTAGCAAGTAGTAGCAGCAGCAGCGTCTATGAAGGTAGACACAGACAAAGGTCCCCCGTGTAGCCTCTAGCAGGGCTGTAAGGGGCAAGTGCTGTTAGTAGCAAGTAGTAGCAGCAGCAGCGTCTATGAAGGTAGACACAGACAAAGGTCCCCCGTGTAGCCTCTAGCAGGGCTGTAAGGGGCAAGTGCTGTTAGTAGCAAGTAGTAGCAGCAGCAGCGTCTATGAAGGTAGACACAGACAAAGGTCCCCCGTGTAGCATCTAGCAGGGCTGTAAGGGGCAAGTGGTTGTTCGTAGCGAGTAGCAGCAGCAGCAGCAGCGTCTATGAAGGTAGACACAGACAAAGGTCCCCCGTGTAGCCTCTAGCAGGCCTGTAAGGGGCAAGTGGTTGTTCGTAGCGAGTAGCAGCAGCAGCGTCTATGCTGCCGGCACTGGCGCACAAAGAGGGGTGGGTTGGCCTCGCACCACGCCTGCCTGGCCGCCTTTGTCTCCCCAGGTGGCGATGTTTAATACACACCGCTACCGCTGCACCAGGTACTCATTTGAGGATGTGTGTGCGTCTGTGTCTGCGCGTTTGTCTGCGCGTGTGTCTGTGGCTGCGTGTGCGTGGTTTAGTGGGGAGCGGTGGTGCTGTGGTTAGCGCTACGCTGCGCTACGAACCCGGCCACCCGGGTTCGATTCCCGCTCACGGCCAACACCAAGTGACGATAATCTGAACCGGTCCCGGGCCTCCCCTAGGTCGACTCAGCCTCAAATGAGTACCCGGTGCGGTGTGTAAACATCGCCACTGGGGAGACAAAGGCGGTCGGGCGTGGTGCTGGCCACCCACCCCCTCGTGTACCGTTCCGGCCTTCATAGGTGCTCGCTAACAGCACTTGCCCCTACAGTCTGTTAGGGCTATACGGGGGACCTTTGTTATCTTTGTGGTTTAGTGGTAAATTATTGAAGGTGGAGGGGTTACCAGCCCCTCGCACCCGTCCAGAGCCCCCGTTTAGCCCCTGTGGTGGACACAGACGCCGTGAGACCTCCCCCCACAGCACTGTCCACGACAGAGTTGCCCGTCCGGCACCGCGAGGAGGTAGGGGGTTGTTTTGCCAGAGACACACACACACAGAGAGACACAAAGACACAAAGATAACAAAGATTCCCCATATAGACTTAACAGACTGTAGGGGCAAGTGCTGTTAGCGAGCACCTATGAAGGCCGGAAACGGTACACCAGGGGGTGGGTGGCCAGCACCACGCCCGGCCGCCTTTGTCTCCCCAGTGGCGATGTTTACTACACACCACACCAGGTACCCATTTGAGGCTGAGTCGACCTAGGGGAGGCCCGGGACCGGTTCAGATAATCGTCACTGGTGTTGGCCGTGAGCGGGAATCGAACCCGGGTCGCCAGGTTCATAGCGCTAACCGCTACACTACCGCTCACACACAGACACATAGAAACACACAGACACTCACACACAGAGACACTCACATATAGACACACACAGGGACACTCACACATAGAAACACAGAGACACTCACACACACAGAGACACACATAGACACTCACACATAGAAACACACAGACACTCACACAGACACACAGAGACACTCACACACAGACACACACAGAGACACTCACACACAGACACACACAGAGACACTCACACACACTGACACACAGAGACACTCACACACACAGATACACACAGAGACACTCACACATAGAAACACACAGACACTCACACACAGAGACACTCACACATAGGCACACACAGGGACACTCACGCATAGAAACGCACAGAGACACTCACACATAGAAACACAGAGACACTCACACACACAGAGACACACATAGACACTCACACATAGAAACACACAGACACTCACACAGACACACACAGAGACACTCACACACACAGACACACAGAGACACTCACACACACAGACACACAGAGACACTCACACACACAGACACACACAGAGACACTCACACATAGAAACACACAGAGACACCCACACACACAGAGACACTCACACACACAGAGACACTCATACACACAGACACACACAGAGACACTCATATACAGACACACATAGACACACATAGACACTCACACACAGACACACACACATAGACACACACACAGAGACACTCGCACACACAGACACACAGAGACACACACAGACACACAGAGACACTCATACACAGACACACATAGACACTCACACATAGACACTCACACAGACACTCACACATAGACACTTTGTTGTTTTGCCGTACGTACGTGGCGAATGGCGGTTGTTGTTGTTGCGTGTGTCTGTGTGTGTCTGCGTGTCTCTGCGTGTGTGTCTGCGTGTGTGTCTGTATCTGTGTGTGTCTGCGTGTGTCTGTGTGTCTGCGTGTGTCTGTGTGTCTGCGTGTGTGTCTGCGTGTGTGTCTGAGTGTGTCTGTATCTGTGTGTGTGTGTCTGCGTGTGTCTGTGTGTGTCTGCGTGTGTGTCTGCGTGTGTGTCTGAGTGTGTCTGTATCTGTGTGTGTGTCTGCGTGTGTCTGCGTGTGTGTCTGAGTGTGTCTGTATCTGTGTCTGTGTGCCTGCGTGTGTGTCTTCGTGTATGCGCGTGTCTGTGTGTGTCTGCGTGTCTGTGTGTCTGCGCGTGTGTCTGAGTGTGTGTCTGCGTGTGTGCATGTGTGTCTGCGTGTTGTCTGCATGTTTGTTTGCGTGTGTACGTGTGTCTGCGTGTGTGTCTGTGTGTCTTCGTGTGTGTTTGTGTGTTTCTATGTGTCTTCATGTGCATCTGCGTGTGTCTGCGCGTGTCTGTGTGTGTCTACGTGTGTCTGTGTGCCTGCGTGTGTGTCTGAGTGTGTCTGTATCTGTGTCTGCGTGTGTCTGTGTGCCTGCGTGTGTCTTCGTGTATGCGTGTGTCTCTGTGTGTGTCTGTGTGTGTGTCTGCGTGTGTCTGTGTGTCTGCGTGTGTCTGTGTGCCTGCGTGTGTCTGTGTGCCTGCGTGTGTCTGAGTGTGTATCTGTGTGTGTGTCTGTGTGTCTGCGTGTGTGTCTGTGTGTGTTTCTATGTGTCTTCGTATGTACATGTGTGTCTGCGTGTGTGTCTGCGCGTGTCTGTGTGTGTGTCTGAGTGTGTGACTGTGTGTGTGGCTGTGTGTGTGTGTCTGAGTGTGTCTGTATCTGTGTGTCTGTGTGTGTCTGTGTGCCTGCGTGTGTGTCTTCGTGTATGCGCGTGTCTCTGTGTGTGTGTCTGCGTGTGTCGGTGTGCCTGCGTGTGTCTGTGTGTCTGCGTGTGTGTCTTCGTATATGCGCTAGTCTGTGTGTCTGAGTGTGTCTGTGTGCCTGTGTAGTGGGGAGCGGTGGTGCTGTGGTTAGCGCTACGCTGCGCTATGAACCTGGCGACCCGGGTTCGATTCCCGCTCACGGCCAACACCAGTGACGATTATCTGAACCGGTCCCGGGCCTCCCCTAGGTCGACTCAGCCTCAAATGAGTACCCGGTGCGGTGTGTAAACATCGCCACTAGGGAGACAAAGGCGGTCGGGCGTGGTGCTGGCCACCCACCCCCTCGTGTACCGTTCCGGCCTTCATAGGTGCTCGCTAACAGCACTTGCCCCTACAGTCTGTTAAGGCTATACAGGGGATCTTTGGCTGTCTGTGTGGGGAGCGGTAGTGTCACGGTTAGCGCACTGTGCTATGAACCGTGGCGACTCGGCCAACACCAGTGACGATTATCTGAACCGGTCCTGGGCCTCCCCTAGGTCGACTCAGCCTAAAATGAGTAGCTGGTGCGGTGTCTAGTAAACATCGCTACTAGGGAGACAAAAGCGGCCGGGCGTCGTGTTGGCGACTCACCCCCTCGTGTGCTGTGCCGGCCTTCATTGGTGCTCGCTAACAGCACAGTCTGTTAAGGTTATACTGGGGGATCTTGGTCTACGTGTGTCTCTTGAGTAGAGGCCGACCGAAACCAGAAACCGTAAGTAAAACATTTACTTTCGACCAAGACCGAAACAGAAAGGTACATAACCGGTGGTTAGTATTGAGTGTGTGCCTGCCTATTACCATCATTAAGGGAAAAAACGATGATCCAATCTCCGACCCCCAGGAACAGGTTTGCAGATTTGCCGAGCATATCTGTGAAGTCCTGGGGGAGGGGAAATCCCTCGAGGACAAAGTGGGTATGTAGGACAAAGTGGGTATGACCCTGTTGAGGCTGCGGTGCCTCAAATATTGGAGGAAGAAGTCACCCCCTGCAAGTGGCTGGCAGAGGTGCCATCTATTGAGGAAGTACTAAAGGTGATCCAGAGTCTGAGACCAGGAAAGGTACCGGGCAGAGATGATCTGCCAAGCGAAATGCTTAGGGAGGGTGGCGTTTGTGCACAAACTGCCCTACATGACATCATAACAACAGTCTGGACCACTGGATGGGCTCTGTAGGATTGGAAGGATGCCCTTGTGGTCCCTCTCTTTAAGAAGGGGGACCGCACAGACTGTAACAACTACAGGGGCATCTCACTCCTAAGTGTGGCGGGAAAGGTCCTGGCAAGGATTATTCAACATGGCCTTGCCAGGCACGCTGAAGAGAGGCTTGCGAAGCCCCAATGTGGTTTCAGGAAAGGGCTGTCCTGCACAGATGCCATATTTTCTGTCCATCTGCTACAGCAGATGTGTAGGGAATTCCAACAAGACCTACATTTCTTTCTAGATTTGAAGTTTCCGTGACTGCAAGGATCCATACTCTGGTTTTTTTCCAAAAGAACCAAAGACCTACATCGCTGCTTTATTGACCTGGTCAAGGCCTATGATACCATCAGTAGGCCTGGGCTCTGGGTTGTTCTTCGTGCTTTCGGAGTACCTGACCCTCTTTTCACGATCATTAAGGACCTTCATGATGGTGAGTGGGCCCGGGTAAAACTACGTGGCCAGGAGTAAAAGCCATTCCTTGTACACCTTTGGGTGCGACAGGGATGTCCTCTGGCTCCAATATTATTTAACATCTATTTTGACCATGTAGTTTGTGAAGCCTTAAATAGCTATACCGGTGGAATTTCCATTTGGTACAGATATAATGGGAGGCTGATCGATGCCCGGGTGAGGTCAAGGGATGGCTCCCTATTGGTCAATCACGTTATGTATGCCGATGATTTGGTAATTGCTGCTCATTCAGAGGAGTTGGAGACGCTGCTACTGAAACTGGAGCGTGCCACTAAGAGGTGGGGCCTTACCATCAGCCCCACCAAAACTAAGCACCTGCCTGGGTATTTTGTAACATCGGACACTCCACCCCCACAACTCCCAATTGGTGATGGGGCAATTGTGGAGAGTTTCCCATACCTGGGCAGTGGGCTTATGACTGTCTCCGGTTTAACAGGTCTCACTCCGAATCAGTCGAGTGGCAATATCTTTTCACCGGTTGCGTTAAGCTGTGTGGAAGCTACCTGGTCTGTCGCTCCGCACAAAGCTTCAGGTCTTCTCGGCCAAAGTCATTCCCTCCCTTCTCTATGCTTGCGAAACGTGGAGCCCCCTAATGGAACATCTTTGCCGGTTAGAAACATTTAGGCTGGCCTGCCTACGATCCATCCTGAGTTTAACCAGGCTGGATTGTGTGAGGAGCTCACAAATCCTTGAAAGATCTAGGCAAAGTCCCATCGGTGAGCTCCTCCGGCAGGCAAGGCTGCATTGACTGGGCCATGTAGCCCGCATGCCCAGTCACCGCATGCCTAAACAGCTTTTGTTTGGCCGGATAGAGGGGGCTAAACGGGCGTGGCACGGGCTAGAGAAGAGATGGAGTGATGTGGTACAGGAGGATCTGGAGCTGATTGCACTTTCTGATGGAGGAGGCTCGTGAAGGACGCTACTGGGCAGTTGGAAGCAGTCGCCCTCCAACAACAACGGAGGGCGGAGGAGCGACGCTGACAACAACGAGCGGAGCGCCGGGTGGCTAAAGCACAGCAAGTTGGCACAGTAGGGGGCACAGGTGGTGCATCAGCCAGTTGTCTCAGTCGACCTGTGGCATCTGGGTTTGCCCCGTGACCTCCTGCCAGCGGGCTTTCGACACTTCACGTGGCCTCAAGGTGCACATAGCCTGGCACAAGCGTCGTGGTGACGTCACCGCCACTTAGTGGCGAATGGCGGTTGTTGTTGTGTGTCTGTCTGCGTGTCTGCGTGTCCGTGTGCCTGCGTGTGTCTTTGTTTCTGCGTGTGCCTGTGTGTTTCTGCGTGTGTGTCTTCGTGTGTCACAGTGCCGGCAGCCTTCATGGGGTTGCTAATTCGCCACGAATGGCAACTTGCCCCAACACGCACGGTAGAGACATCATCACCAGCACCACATTGATCTCCATCCAGCAGTGGATAGACCATGGTGGTGATGGTGATTACACTGAGAGACAGAGGAGACTGGAGTGGATTATATTGCAGGATCGTTAGAGATACTGAACATTAGTATTGGCTGCATGTGATTCCTGTGTCGGTGAGTAATCTATCTGTCATGTCCAATTAAATCAATTGATGGATTGTTTTTTGCCAGGTCCCAGCCAGAGAAGCCTTTGAAAGTCAAAGAAATGAACATCATGGTCATTTCCTTCTTCATATTGTGTTTGGGTAAGTACTGTACCCGCATAAACCGAATATGGGCGACACGGTGGCTAGGAGATGGTAACTACCTCGTCTGGTATACAAGAGGTCGTGGGTGTGATCCTGACCCTGACGATGCCTGCTGCTGAATATTTGGAGGCTGCGTCTCTCTCTCTTCCATTATCATTACGGTGGCTAGGATTTTGCATCTCTCTCCCAATGGTGGTGTGGATTATTTCCCAGGTCCTGTTTTCCAGGTCCTCCTGTTTTCCAGGTCCTCCTGTTTCCCCTACACATTTATAATCAACATTACGCGTTTAGAGTATTTGGCTGCTGCTATAAATTTCCACATGGTGATGATAAGCTACTTGGTTGAGCTATCATTTGTGGTGTCCAGGTCCCTTCTGAAAAATAACTACACAGCTCAGTGGGCCTCACCGGGTGTGTGAGTGAATGATTGTGCAGTGTCATGTAGAATCACTTAAACAGACACGTTGTAACAGGTCATATGCTTACACTTTATTAGCCTATTGTACCAGTTGTAGGCACTCCTACCTCTGTCTATACGGTCACTTCTGTTAACCAAATTCCCCTATGTACTTTACACCTCGCTAACCTCCCTATGGCAGCTCTTACTCTCAGCATCTGTGTGAGCAGCGCTCACACAGAGACTTGCACACAGCTTCTCACACAGCACCCCCGTTCCACCGCTGCCCTCGCCTACACTCCCTCAGACTTACTCACTCGTCTGTCCCGGGCGGGGGGATCAACCATCACCCGCCCGGCGACTCATGAGGGTTGAGGTTCGTTCCTGGCTTAAGCGACAGCAGCGAGACGTCTTCTCTGTCTGGTCCCCAGCAACACGAACCCCGCTCCGCTCTCACATCCGTATTTTTATCCCCTTCCCAATTATTCGGCTCCTTAGGGCTGGCGCCTGTCAGGCCATTAATCACCCCTTATCGCACGTCTCCCTCACAACACCTCCGGTGTCAGTGTGCAACCCCGGGCTGACCTGGTCTGTACCAGCTTCCCTTCCAAATTAGGTGGCGGTTTGCTCGTGCAACCTAACTTTGCACAAGCACACGTGTTTGTCCTCGGTTGCCCTCGGACTACAGTGTGCGCCACGTATTTAACCACACTACATCATCCCCCCCCCCCACGATAAAAATGCAGCCGTCCTGGCTGTTAATATACGTCGTAACCAACCCCTAACAACAACACAATCGTAAGCGGTGACCATGAACAAAAACAATAATAAGAACGAGGCGTCGCGAACGAGTGTGTGCGGGTAGAGACGGTTCTGCTCGGTTGTGATAAGTGATCTGCTACAGGAGTCCGCATCGCTCCATCCGTGGCCATTAGGTTCTCTGGTCCTGTAGGCAGTACAGAACAATCCTCCGCACGTCCCATTACCTCAGGCGTGGCGGTCGGATGCATTAGACACATCAGACACCGGCCGCAAGGGATGTGGGGATGAATCGACCGGACCGGACGAGAGGTATGTTTTTAACCGCGATGGATGCACAAACCAGCGCCGCCGGCCCAATCGAATACACACGCACTGCGGCCACTGAACCTCAATGACTTCGACGGGTCCTTGCCAGGGACGGTACAGTTTTTGGGATGTGCCCACAGGCACTTGGGGGAAATGTAACTGTAATGGATTCCGGAGGCACTTTGCATAGGCAACTTCTTTATTACAACACAGCACTCCAACAGTCCTGATACACTGCTACAGCCTAGGGACACAGCCTACTCCTAGCGTGCCGTGACACTGCCTACGCTCTCGGGTCCTCCGCTATAATTACCCTAGGGGAGGCTACCCTGACCCGACCCAGCCAAGGTGCGGGTCTAGACTCTGGCTTCCTCGGACCTCGCCCTTACAAGGGCGTGGGGCTGGGAGTCCCAGAGTCCCACCACCGGCCCGCACAGCGTCCCGCCCCTTACAAGAACAGCGGGGCGAGGGGGTCCAGGATCCTATCTAGCTGCTGGTCTTCGTTCTTCGGCTGCGACTGGTCCCAGATCGGCTGGGGAGGTCCCCTTTTATGCCCCTTGCCCATTGAGGGGTGGGGATGCGAGGGATCCTAGAACCCCCACAGCCCCCCACCCCCACCCCCCCCCCCGTTGGAGGCGCCGAGGGGCTTAGCTGTCTGGGGATCCTGAGCCCCCAGCAGCCCCTCCCCTCTTGGGCTCGCACTGCAGCCCCTCCCCTGACGGTACAAGGTACCGTTCCATCTATGGCGCTACATAACCAAGCCTTGTCCCCCTCTTTCCAAGGTATTCCTGGCCCTCCCTGTCCCCTTAGCCGCTCGTTACCGGCCTGTCTGCTGCTCAAGTGTTTGCAACATCGGGTCAGGCACCGCCGATCCTTTCCGCGATAATCCCGTTGAGGCATGGGGAGCAAGTCTGTAAGCAGCAAGGACCCCCGGAATGTGGAGATCCCAATCCGACTGGCCCTGAGTCACTTGCTGGCATAACATGGTGGTGAGGGTTCTATACAACCGCTCAACCATCCCGTCAGTCTGTGGATAATACGGTGAGGTGCGTATTTTCTGCACCTCCTGGAGCAACTTGGAGGAGAAATTCCTGCCCTGATCCGTGAGTAGTTTCTCCAGGGCCCCCTTATCTCGGACATAGCCATTCACAAAGGCGTCGGCTATAGCTGCAGCTGACTGCCAGGCCATAGGCCAACGAGTTACGTATTCGATCCCAACAAGGAGGTACTTGTGCCCGCTCTGGGAGACCGGAAAGGGACCCAAAATGTCAAGGGCCACCAATTCATTCACCCGTTACACAACAATGGATTGTTACGGAATCTGCGGTCGCAGGGCGGGAGATTTCCAATGCGCACAATCGGCACAACCTTTAATCAGGAGGAGGACATCACTTTCCATGCCGGGCCAGTAAAAGTATTTTTCAACGTTGCCAACGTTTTATGTACACCCAGATGCATTAAATTCTCGTGTACAGCTTTCGTAAGTTTACCCCTAAAGACCCTGGGTACGATCAAGGAATAATGCTGGGACTCCCCCTCCCACCGCATGAGGAATCCCTCACGCAGCACAATGGTTGGGCGATCCATGGGCCCCGGTCCCCGAGAAGCACGATGGCGCAACGTCAATAGTGAGGCATCATCAACCTGCAGCTTAGCCCACGTCTCATGGTCAAGATCCAGAACAGAATCACGTGGCGACTGAGCGCCTGCCTCCTGCGTTGTCCTGGACACCGCAAGCATCATGGGCGCCTCCCCTTTCGAGGGCTTACATCGTGATGCGCCTGAGGCACACGTGCACGTGACATGGGGCGGCAATCGGGACAAGGCGTCAGCGTTGACGTGCCGGGTGCCTTTCCTGTGCACCACTGTGAATGAGAATCCCTGGAGGATTTCGAGCCATTGGGACAACTGCCTGGAAGGCTGGTCGATGCGCAGGGAGTACTGGAGGGCCGCATGGTCCATGCAAACGACAAAGTCCCGTCCATACAAATAAGGATGATAGAGTTGAATGAAATGGACCATGGCCAGTAACTCCCTGCGCGTGACGCAATAGCGCTGTTCAGCCGGAGACAGAACTCAACTGCCGTAAGCAACCACTCGCTCTGTGCCCTCAACAAGCTGGGAAAGGACTGCCCTGATGCCCGTATCGCTGGCGTCTGTGTCCAAAATGAAGGGTTTAGCAAAATCGGGATATGCGAGTGGAGGGGCATCGGCGAGCACGGCATGGAGAGCGAGGAAGGAATCCTCTTCAGCCTTATCCCACCAAAATCTCTGGACCTTGGCCATGAGGGCGTGTAGCGGCTTAACAATGGTGGCAAAATTTTTAACTAACCGCCGGTAGTAAAAAGCGAATCCAACAAAACTGCGGACGTCTGCTACCAACTTAGACGCCTGTCACATGCGCACACACGAGGTCTTTTCTGGATCTGTGGCGACACCGGCCGTGCTAACTATTTGGCCCAAGTACTTAACCGATGTCTGAAGCAAATGGCATTTCTGTGGCTTGAATTTCAAATTGGCCACACGTACTCTCTCGAAATCTGAGCGCAATCGCTGTAAATGTTCGTCAAAGGTTTTGCTAAAGACGATGATCATCCAAATATAGAAGGCAAGAATCCCATTGCAACCCTGCTAGGACTAATTCCATTAACTGATGAAAGGTGGCTGGCGCTGAATTCAATCCTATCAGAAGGCAATTTTAGTGATAAAGGCCTTTGGGCGTTCGAAAAGCAGTTTTAGGATAATAAATCGAGCGTCAAAAATAATTGCGCGCCCGACAATGCATCGAGCGATTCATCCATACAAGGAAGGGGATACGCATCCGCCACCAATATCTTACTTAACTTGCGAAAATTAATGCAAAATCTCAAGTTTCCATCACGCTTCTTCACGAGGACTATGGGCGCTCCCCATGGGCTATTGGGCGGAGCAATAATATCTGCTGCCAGCATCTCGTCAACAACCAGGCGTACCTGTTCCTTCTCAGCGGGGCTGAGTCTATGCGAATTAATCCGAATTGGGGGCGAATCGCCCGTATTGATGTGATGATGGAGGAGAGAAGTGCGCCCAATATCAAATTTGCCAGTACTAAACACATCCGAAAAATCGTTCAAGAACCGGCGCAGCTGAGCTCGTTGAACTACCGTAAGTGCAAGGTTCTCAGAGCACAGAGATTCCAGCCACGCGGAATCCGGCTCATCAGGTTTATCCACGCTACCCGCAACCACATGAGCCGGCTCCGCATCCCCAAGACAACGGGCCACCGAAGCGTGTGCCAGGACAGTACCCGCCTGAATCACAACCGGCGCGTGTCCCGCATTCAGTACTTGCAGAAACGGTGTCTGCTCGGCGGATATAACCGTCATAGCCCCCCACTAGCGAAGGGGATCGCGACACGACATTAGAAGGGGTAAGCAGGATCCCCTCCTCCGGCCCCGGTGAAGGCAACTCCTTGTGCAAATGCAGCGGTATGAGCATTTGGGAACCTGTAGGCACCTTAACGGTTTGGCTAGCCATCGCATGAATGACAGCGTTCTGTGATGGCTGTCGACCAGGGGAATGTAGAAACTGCAACCACTGTCCAGACAGTAATTCAATGCACCCCTTGTCGATTAGAATTTTCAAGGGCATCCTGCTCAGAAAATCGGTGCCCAACAAACAGGGCGCGGCCAACATTCGTGACACTAAAATTTGACCTTCCAAAAGGATTTCCCCAATTTGAACAGAGGCCAACATTTTCCCCATTATACCCCCCTTAAGCCGCAACACAAGCGCTTTCCATGGGGGCAAAAGGATTGGATGACGATGCCCTGGCCGCCACCGGTGGCCGGTCGTTGAGGTCGAGGTGTGTTTGGATGCCGTGAGCCACCTGCAGGGAGGTCGTCCTCTGTCACGGCAAGGGTGACCCCCATCTCCCGAGCCAAGGAGAGAAGTCGCTCCAAGGCAAGAGAGTCCAGAGTGAGTCTGTCCATTCGCGGAAAAGCCGCGTGCCCCAGAGCGAGGAGAGCACTGCGAAATGCCAGCGGCGTCTCGTTCTCGCCCCTTCGTCACAGGCGAAATCTTCTACGCACATTAGACGGGGGGTCGTAAATAGCAGCCGTCTCGGCGTAGGCGCGCGTAAGGGTCGCTCTATCCGACTCGGGGATGGCGAAGAAAGCGGCAAGCGAGTCGTCGTCGAGGGCCGTGGGAAGAGCTCGGAACGCTTTGCAGGGCGTCCCACCGAGATGTAGGCGGCTTCAAACCAACGACGAAAGGCCATCCAATCGCCCTCCGCAGCTGCAAACTGGCGCACCAGCGGCAGTCGTCGAAGCTTGGAGGCATCCTCCAGCTTGGGAGTTGGCGGCTGCTGCTGCTGCGGCGTGGGCTGATCACGTGAAATGGCGAACGCATGGAGCCCAGCTGCAGCCTCCAAAATGGCGGATGGGTCCGGTGCTCCCGACGCCTCGGACCCGACAGCGGCAGGAAGCGCATCTTGGTGACTGGTGGTCAACGCAGCCGTCATTCGCTCGAACAGACGAGCGGCGGCCGACAACAGCCTCCCCAGATGACCAGCGATGTCCAGCCAGCTCTGCGGAGGAGGTTGCAGGGCTGGACTTTCTCCTGCGCCGACTGCAGCACGTCGTCGGAGCGGCCGCTCGAAGCTCCGTCAACCGGAGCTGTTGGAGGGATGATGTCTTGCTCGGCCTCATCGTCCGACGACGCAGCAGGTGGGTTTCTTCGTTTCGTCACCGACTTGAACATGACGGCAAAGGTTCATTGGCACTTCTAACACCAAATGTAGTGTCGTGTAGAATCACTCAGACGGACACGTTGTAACAGGTCATCTGCTTACACTTTTATTATCCTATTCTTGTACCAGTTGTAGGCACTCCTATCTCTGTCTACACGGTCACTTCTGTTAACCAAATTCCCCTATCTAATTTACACCTCGCTAACCTGCCTATGGCAGCTCTTGCTCTCAGCAACTCCGCACTCAAAGCTCCGCAAACAGCAGCCCTCACACAGAGGCTTGCACACAGCTTCTCACACAGCACCCCCATTCTACCGCTGCCCTCGCCTACACTCCCTCAGACCCACTCACTCGTCCATCCCGGGTGGGGGGATCAACCATCACCCACCCGGCGACTCTTAAGGGTTTAGGTTCGTTCCTGGTCCCCAGCAACACGAACCCCGTTCCGCTCTCACGTCCGTCTTTTTATCCCCTTCCCAATTATCCGGATCTTTAGGGCTGGCGCCTGTCAGGCCATTAATCACCCCTTATCGCACGTCTCCCTCACAACACCTCCGGTGTCAGTGTGCAACCCCGGGCTGACCTGGTCTGTACCAGCTTCCCTTCCAAATTAGGTGGCGGTTTGCTCGTGCAGCCTAACGTTGCACAAGCACACGTGTTTGTCCTCGGTTGCCCTCGGACTACAGTGTGCGCCATGTATTTAACTACACTACAATTACTCTTTGTTTTTTTTACACTACAATTGTGTGAGTGTGATCGTGGGTGAGTGAGATGGTGGGTGAGTGAATTATTGAGTGGGTGAGTGAGATGGTGGGTGAGTGGGTTGGCGGCTGAGTGAATGATTTAGTGAGTGAGTGAGATGGTGGGCGAGTGAGATGGTGGGTGAGTGAGATGGTGGGTGAGATGGTGAGTGAGTGAATGATTGAGTGGGTGAGTGAGATGGTGGGTGAGTGGGTTGGCGGGTGAGTGAATGATTTAGTGAGTGAGAGAGATGGTGGGCGAGTGAGATGGTAGGTGTGTGAGATGGTGGGTGAGTGAATGATTGAGTGGGCAAGTGAATGATTGAGTGGGTGTGTGAGATGGTGGGTGAGTAAAATGGTGGGTGAGTAAAATGGTGGGTGAGTGAATGATTACGTGAGTGAGTGAATGATTGAGTGCGTGAGTGAATGATTGAGTGGGTGAGTGAGATGGTGGGTGAGTGGGTTGGTGGCTGAGTGAATGATTTAGTGAGAAAGTGAGATGGTGGGCGAGTGAGATGGTGGGTGAGTGAGATGGTGGGTGAGTGAGATGGTGGGTGAGTGAGATGGTGAGTGAGTGAATGATTGAGCGGGTGAGTGAATGATTGAGTGGGTGAGTGAGATGGTGGGTGAGTGGGTTGGCAGGTGAGTGAGTGATTGAGTGCGTGAGTGAATGATTGAGTGGGTGAGTGAATGATTGATTGGGTGAGTGAATAATTTTTTGGGTGAGTGAGATGGTGGGTGAGTGAGATGGTGAGTGAGTTAATGATTAAGTGGGTGAGTGAATGATTGAGTGGATGAGTGAGATGGTGGGTGAATGAATGATTAGGTAAGTGGGTGAATCTTAACTTAAAGCTTTAGTGACTGTAGGAATTCATATTCTTTGGTTCTTTCGGTAAAGTCACGTAGATAGGTTGAAAGAAAATAACTAAAAACTACGATGTTTCGATCACAACACAAGCGATCGTCATCAGGAGCAAAAAAAGTAAAGCTGCTGAAGGTTTAGAATGGGTGTGGCCCAAGGGTCATAAACAAAGTGGGTGGGGCTAGTGATGTTAGACTGAGAAATTTGACCTGTTAATGTAAAATCAGATTTTACATTAACAGGTTAAATTTCTCACACCAACACAGCCGCCTCGCACGCCGACGTGGCAGCGGTACTGCGATCTTCCATTAACATACAGTGAGGGAAAAAAAGTATTTGATCCCCTGCTGATTTTGTACATTTACCCACTGACAAAGAAATGATCAGTCTATAATTTTAATGGTAGGTTTATTTGAACAGTGAGAGACAGAATAACAACAAAATCCAGAAAAACGCAAGTCAAAAATGTTATAAATTGATTTGCATTTTAATGAGGGAAATAAGTATTTGACCCCTCTCAATCAGAAAGATTTCTGGCTCCCAAGTGTCTTTTATACAGGTAACGAGCTGAGATTAGGAGCACACTCTTAAAGGGAGTGCTCCTAATCTCAGCTTGTTACCTGTATAAAAGACACCTGTCCACAGAAGCAATCAATCAAATAGATTCCAAACTCTCCACCATGGCCAAGACCAAAGAGCTCTCCAAGGATGTCAGGACAAGATTGTAGACCTGCACAAGGCTGGAATGGGCTACAAGACCATTGCCAAGCAGCTTGGTGAGAAGGTGACAACAGTTGGTGCGATTATTCGCAAATGGAAGATACACAAAATAACTGTCAATCTCCGTCGGCCTGGGGCTCCATGCAAGATCTCACCTCGTGGAGGTGCAATGATCATGAGAACGGTGAGGAATCAGCCCAGAACTACACGGGAGGATCTTATCAATGCTCTCAAGGCAGCTGGGACCATAGTCACCAAAAAAACAATTGGTAACACACTACGCCGTGAAGGACTGAAATTCTGCAGTGCCCGCAAGGTGCCCCTGTTCAAGAAAGCACATATACATGTCCGTCTGAATTTTGCCAATGAACATCTGAATGATTCAGAGGACAATTGGGTGAAAGTGTTGTGGTCAAATGAGACCAAAATGGAGCTCTTTGGCATCAACTCAACTCGCCGTGTTTGGAGGAGGAGGAATGCTACCTATGACCCCAAGAACACCATCCCCACCGTCAAACATGGAGGTGGAAACATTATGCTTTGGAGGTGTTTTTCTGCTAAGGGGATAGGACAACTTCACCGCATCAAAGGGACGATGGACGGGGCCATGTACCATCAAATCTTAGGTGAGAACCTCCTTCCCTCAGCCAGGGCATTGAAAATGGGTTGTGGATGGGTATTCCAGCATGACAATGACCCAAAACACATGGCCAAGGCAACAAAGGAGTGGCTCAAGAAGAAGCACATTAAGGTCCTGGAGGGACCTAGCCAGTCTCCAGACCTTAATCCCATAGAAAATCTGTGGAGGGAGCTGAAGGTTCGAGTTGCCAAACGTCAGCCTAGAAACCTTAATGACTTGGAGAAGATCTGCAAAGAGGAGTGGGACAAAACCCTCCTGAGATGTGTGCAAACCTGGTGGCCAACTACAAAAAACGTCTGACCTCTGTGATTGCCAACAAGGGTTTTAACACCAAGTACTAAGTCATGTTTTGCAGAGGGGTCAAATACTTATTTCCCTCATTAAAATGCCAATGAATTTATAACATTTTTGACATGCGTTTTTCTGGATGTTTTTGTTGTTATTCTGTTTCTCACTGTTCAAATAAACCTACCATTAAAATTATAGACTGATCATATCTTTGTCAGTGGGCAAACGTACAAAATCAGTAGGGGATCAAATACTTTTTTCCCTCACTGTACCTAAAATTTGGGCTTCTCTGTTGTCCATCTTCGTGAGGATTTGACTGCGTACTAATTGTGCATTTTCCTCTTTGCAGTGTGCGTACACCCGCTTGAAGCAGTTAGTGTTACTCTGATGCCACATGGAAGCGTCAGTGCTGGCAAGGTCTTGACTCTTACGTGCAACTTTACATCAGATGCAAAAACTAGTCCACAGACTTGGATGACCTGGAGTTTTGGAAATGCTGAGGTGAGCTGCCTGCTATGCAAGCTTTCGATTTCCCAACTAAGGATGAACGCAGTGATCAGATCCGTCTCTCTGACCCACACGTTTATATTTCCCATCTTTCCGCCGTCGGTTACAATACCTCTTATCTTGCAGGTCTGCAAATATGTGAATAATAATTTGAGGCCAATCTCCAACGAAGCCTTCAAGCATCGAACGACCTGCCATGGTGACATCAAGAGAAATTTTATCCAAATGTCAATTTCTAACATTCAAGTTAACGACAGTGGAATATACAAGTGTGACGTCAGCAATTTCCCTGATCAAACACCAGGAGAAGAATCCACCAATATTTCTATTGGTAAGTACAATGTTTGGGTGTTTTTTGTCCTGTGCATGTTGGCTGCGCAGAATCGCGAGTAGGTTTTATGTGGCAGTGGCATATGTTGTAAAGTAAAATAATATGTATAAAACAAATAAACCCCTGCAGATTGACCACGCAAACTACAGGAAGGTCTCAGAGTACGCGGCGAGGGTTAGATTCCGTGTACTCCCCCCACTTGAGCGCAAATTCGTGTAAGTTGGGGTGCGCCTGTACTAGAGTATATATACACTACTATATACTAATACTAGCTTAACTACCCGGCTTCGCCCGGAACTTCGATTCACCACGCCCGGCCGCCTTTGTCTCCCCAATGGCGATGTTCACACACCACACCAGTTATGTGTTTGAGGCTGAGTCGACCTAGGGGTGGTGGCCACGAGCGGGAATCGAACTCGGGTCGCCGGGTTCGTAGCGCAGCGCGTGAATCGCTACGCAGGCGCTGCCTCCCCTACACACACAGGATAAAGACAAAGATCTCCCGTGTAGCCTATGAGACTGTAGGGGGCAAGTGCTGTTAGCGAGCACCTATCAAGGCCAGCACGGCACACGAGGGGGTGGGTGGCGAGCACCACGCCCGGCCGCCTTTGTCCCCCCAGTGGCGATGTTCACACAGCACACCAGTTACTCATTTGAGGCTGAGTCGACCTAGGGGAGGCCCATGACCAGTAAAAATAATCGTCACCGGTGGTGGCCGTGAACGGGAATCAAACTCGGGTTGCCGGGTTTGTAGCGCGGCGTAGCGCTAACCACTACACTACCGCTCCCCCCCCCACACACACATACAGACACACACCCACACACACCCACACACACAGACAGCGCGCTAACCACTACACTACAATGCGTTACGCTTCCACATGCGCGGGTCACATGACAGATTTGACGTCACAGCTCACTTGCCGTGCAAAAAATATATGCATTATTGAGCTCCCCCCCAAAAAAAAAACCACACACAAAGTGTATTTTTATAATTTTTGCATGGTGTACATTCTGGAAAGTACCCACATGGCAAATTTCAAGTTTGTTGCATGTCGGGAAGTACACTAAACATTTTGAACAGACACAAAATCGCAACTTTACCTTTTATATATATGGAGATAGACTACTATATACTACTATATACTATTGTAGTTAGTTCAACTGAGTCGCAGACATACTCTTTGGAGGCAACACATTTATTAATACCAACACACGGGGTAACTCCCTCTTAACAGGATAACAACCTATGGTGGTGGATCACCAGGCTAACTACACTAATTACACTGGGAGTAGCTGCAATGGACCAGACCATAGCTTGGGTCCCGGTCCACATGTTGGTGACTGTAGGATGTAAAACGTAGATTCTTCAGGATGAACAACAGCAGCCGGTCCCTCTCGTAGACCCGGCTTATATCCTCTGTGATGTGGCTGGCTCCGCCCTTGGCCATGACCACTTTCGAGAACCCTCGAGCAGGAACTCGACCCTGACACGTGACCACCCCTAGCCTCCACTTGGGGGCCCTGTGTAGACTTTACCGGTCACAGGTCCTCTAGGGTCAACCAGAGTGCCATGGCCTTTAGTAACCCGATTCCCGTGGCCGGCACTCTCACACCCTATCTGGTAGGGGCTGACACTGCACGCAGAGCGTGGTGCCATCCAGCGCTGTCAGTCAGCGCTCACCGAACCCCTCTAGGGCCGGTACTGCACCCACATCCAAGTGGTGTCCGCGATGTCAACACATCGCACGCCGTGCCTCTCCAGGGCCGGCATGACACAGTGACATCCGCGATGTCACTACACTATTATACACTTCTATATACTACTATACACTTCTGTATACTATATACTGCACACTATACTATATATCACTATATACTACTATATTAATATATACTACCACACACTACTATATTAGTATATACTGTACACTATATACTACTATACACTACTATATTGTTAGATACTGCAATACACTATATTCTACTATACACTACTATATTACTATATACACTACTATATTATTATATACTGCTATACACTATATTCTACTATACACTACTATATTACTGTATACTGTTTTAACACGTAGGCTTTCGCGACCAATATCCATAATACAGGTTTCTTGGGTTAGATCGCGTATAAATATATCAATGTGTCGTTAAACCCGCGACCACCCGACACAGCCAACTTGTAAGGGTTGTCACATAAACAGAACGTGGCCAATTCGTCACTAGTACAGCACACCGGTTGTGTGTTGGAGAGCCAAGCCACAACATTTACAATCTGAGTACGACGTTTCGCCAGTAATTACAACTAGCTTCATCAGGCGACAGCCAGATTTGTGGAGAAGTCCCCTGTTTCGTTCCTTAAATAGAGGCGTAAATGTGATCAAATCACTTGTGCGCTCTCCTTGCGCGAAGTGGCTGGGGTTTAATGAATGCATTTAAATGTCAATGGGTATCCATTTCAGTTTGGGTTATTCATATGGTAATCAACGCACATTATGCATGTAGATTATGCGAGCCCATTCTTATGTACTTCCTGTAGATTATTTGGGAGCACAAGAATAAAAGAACACTCAATTGATTTTGATAATATTGAAGTTCTGTGCTAAACTAGCCAAAGGAGTTCAACACACGTACAACATACACTACTATACACTACCATGCTACTATACGCTACTACACTACAATACACTGTGCTATACACTCCACTATACACGACTATACCACTGTACACTACTATGCACTACACTATACACTACTATACACTGCATTATAAACTACATTATATGCTACTATACTACTATACACTACTATACTACTATACAGTACACTATACACTACATACAGTGAGGGAAAAAAGTATTTGTTCCCCTGCTGATTTTGTACGTTTGCCCACTGACAAAGAAATGATTAGTCTATAATTTTAATGGTAGGTTTATTTGAACAGTGAGAGACAGAATAACAACAAAAAAATCCAGAAAAACACACGTCAAAAATGTTATAAATTGATTTGCATTTTAATGAGGGAAATAAGTATCTGACCCCCTCTCAATCAGAAAGATTTCTGGCTCCCAGGTGTCTTTTATACAGTTAACGAGCTGAGATTAGGAGCACACTCTTAAAGGGAGTGCTCCTAATCTCAGCTTGTTACCTGTATAAAAGACACCTGTCCACAGAAGCAATCCTACTATACACAACACTATACACTACACGAAACACTCCTGTTCTACTATACACTACTATACACTACACTATACACTACTATACACTACTGTACTTATAATCTATACACTACATGAAACACTACTATACTACTATACATTGCACTAGATAGTACTATACAATATGCTACATTACACTACGCTATAAACTACTATACACTACACTACTATACACTACCATACATTACTATACACTACTATACTACTATACACTACTATACACTTCACTATACACTACACTTTACACTGAACTAGGAGGAGGGAGCAGGATGAGGAGGGAGGAGGACTCCACGGTTCCAGTCTTAAACAACAGCCCCCTGTGTGGAAAGGCCATGATGCAATCCTCGAACAACATCGCGTGTGTATCTCGTATGTGTGCTGTATGTATGTTGCATTCGTATGTATGTTTATGTGTGTGTTGTACGCATGTGGTATATCTATTTGTATGTTTTATGTATTTTCGTGGACAGTGCCGTGGGGGGAGGGCAAATTACGATTGGCCTTTCCCCTCAGGGCATTTGTAGCCACCACAGCGGCTAAATGGGGGCTCTGGACGGGTGCGAGGGGCTGGTAACCCCTCCACCTTCAATAAATTACCACTAAACCACGTCTAAAATATCTAATTAATAGGCTTGTCCTGGAGGCCCCGGGGGGACAGGCGTCTATGATGTCATCTGGCCAAACCCCATTTGGCAGAGCCAGGAGATTGAATCTTTACCCTCGGGGCTCCTCCAGAAACAACAAAAAGCCACTGCGGGTGGCCACGTTGAATGTTTGAACGCTCACTGCGGAGGAGAGGCTGCCACTCCTCTGTCGGGAGCTAGACCGGTACCGCCTGGATCTTTGTGGCATTCAGGAGGTCCGGTATACCGGCTCTGGCCGGTATACCGGGGCAGGAGACTGCCAAACAACAGGGTGTGGCTCTTCTTCTAAACAAAATAATTAAGGGGGTGTGGGAGCGTGGCGATGAGTGGTTACTTATGCCCCCACTGAAGATGAACATCCATGGAGGGATGCAGGCAAGACCGATGCGTCAGATGCCTTTTATGACCTCTTGTCACAGATGCTGGCTAAAGTGGCCCCTCGAGGTTTAGGACTGTGACTCATGCAGTTGCAATGGCTGCTTTGGGTACACGGTTCAGACCTCCCCAGAGACCCTGGCTGACAGAGGAGGTGTTCAGGATGGTTGAGAAAAAGCGATAGGCCCACTCTGATCGTCTACAGCATCCCACGTCAGAGAAGGAGGAGGCTTACTGCAGCCTTCGCTCGGAGGTTCGGAGAGCCGTGAGGCGCTGCAAAGATGGGTGGTGGTCGCGGGTTGCTGAGGAGATGGAGTCTGCCTCAATGGCCCGCGATCACAAATCCCTATTTAACTCAATCAAAAAAGTAACCTAGACCGCCACACCTATTACCATGATTAGGGGAAAGAACGGTGATCCAATCTCTGACCCCCAGGAACAAGTTTGCAGATTTGCTGAGCATTCTGTGAGGTCCTGGGGGAGAGGAAATCCCTCAGCCTGGAAAACATCATGGGACAAAGTGGGGATGACCCTGCTGAGGCTGCGATGCCTCAAATATTGGAGGAGGAAGTCACCCCCTGTGAGTGGCTGGCTGAGGTGCCATCAGTTGAGGAAGTACTGAAGGCAACGGGCAGAGATGATCTCCCAAGCGAAATGCTGAGGGAGGGTGGCATTTGTGCGCAGACTGCCCTACATGACATCATAACAACAGTCTGGGCCACTGGATGGGTTCCGCAGGATTGGAAGGATG